ATATAATGTACACAGTAAATACATATACATTCTTTTTTTTTTTTTGGAGTCTCCTAACTTTGTTGGGTTTTTTCAGCCATGCCATGTGGCATGCGGGGATCTTAGCTCCCTGACCAGGGACTGAACCCATGCCCCCTGCATTGGGAGCGCAGAGTCTTAACTACTGGGCCGCCAGGGAAGTCCTATACATTCTATTCTATTCTATTCTATTCTACCCTATCGTATCCTATCCTAATTCCTCCACTGGGTTTCTAACTATCGCTCATATTCATTTTTTACTAGAGTACTTGATCTAAGGATGCAAATGTGCATCCTGGACTTATTAGCATCTCCCTTGGAGATGCAGGCGCTGTAGCGCTTGCCAAGGTTTTAAGGATGGAGAATCTTCACTTGAGCGCTAAGCTTTGGGTGGATAAAAGGCGCTGACTGGAGGCCGCTAGTAGGCAGACCTGAAACCCACTCACACTCCAGACCATCTGATACACAGCTGAAGGCATCTGTCCTGGGAGGAAGGCCAGGAAATATGCTCCCTCCTGGGAAGTGATGCTGCTGTGACAGGGAAGCTGTATATGGGGATATATGTATACGTACAGCTGATTCACTTTGTTATACAGCAGAAACTAACACACCATTGTAAAGCAATTATACTCCAATAAAGATGTTTAAAAAAAAAAAAAATGAAGAAGTGTGGAGAATTCTCCTTTTTCAGTCCTGGGCAAGACTGTTGTACTGGCTTTAGTGACAGTCACAACCTGCTGGGAGATGCGCAGGAAACCACATCCTGATGGGGATCTTTTACTAGAACAAAGGAGGGCTGCGCTGGCCCTGCAGGAGGCGAGGGGACCCACGCTGAATAGGAAGGGCAGGGTTTTGGCTTAAGAAAGAAGGGCAGCACCTCAGAGAAACTCTCACACCTGAGGGTCAGGCTTTCAGGGACGTCTTAGCCTGAGTCTGGAGCAGGCTCCAGGGGATGCTGAGAGGTCCCATTCCCCACAGGCCAAGCCTAAAGGAGCAGCAGCTGTCATCCACCCCGAGAGGGGCAGGAGTGTGGAGAGAAACGCTGTCTATGACCCAGGGAGAAGGGGTCTGCTGAGAGCTACGGGTGGGGCAGGAAAACCGGAGTGCAGGAATTTTAATCTCCCTTCTTATGAGGACAGGGTCACATTCAATTACAGCCCACCCATATGACCTCATCTGACTTAAAAACCTCTTTCAAGGCCCAGTCTCCAAATACACTAACACTCTGAGCTACTGTGAATCCGGACTTCAGCATATGAATTTTGGGGAAACAAAAATCAGCACATAATAGAAGGGGTGTAAAAATGATCCATTCAAGGGATGAAATATGCTAGGTATTTCACTGATGGAAAGACTTCAAAGAAAAGTTACCTCGGTTTATTCTCCTCAGAAAGAACCTTTCCTAAGAACTGATTTTCCTCAAGCCCAGCACTCATTTTTCTTGTCCTTCTCTGTTCTTTTTCCTCCCAGTTTTATTGAGGTATACGCGGCATAGAGCATCGTGCTAGTTTAAGGTGTAGTTTTGATGTGATGATTTGATATGTGTATCTATCACAAATTGTTTACCATAATAATGCTAGTTATCACATCCTTCACCTCACATAATTACCATTTTTTTTTTGTCGTTGTTATGGGAAGAACGTTTTAGATTTATTCTCTTAGCAACTTTCAGGTATATAATACAGTACTGTTAACCAGAGTCCCCATGCTGTACATTAGATGCTCAGAACTTATTCCTCTTATGACTGAAAGTCTGTATCTTTGGACCAGCATCTTCTCGTTTCTTCCCACGACTCAGCCTCTGGCAGCCACCGTTCTCCTCACTGTGTCCAGGAGTAGGGCTTTTTTTTTTTAGATTCCACATATATGTGAGATTATACAGCACTTGTCTTACTCTGACTTAGTTCATTTAGTATATGTCCTTAAACGGCAGGATTTCCTTCTTTATTCATGAGGTTGAATATATTTCATTGTGTGTGTGCAATATTACTCAGCCAGGAGAAAGAAGGAAACCCAGCCATTTGTGACTATATATATATATATATATATAAAATTATATATATAATAAGGCATATATGTATATTTTCTTTCTTCCTTCCTTTCTTCCTCTCTTTCTCCATGTATATATAATACATAAAAATATAGAAAGAAATATTAGTCAATATATTATATATAGCATATATAAGTATTACATGCTCATAATAATATTTTAATATATATATTTTAAATTACAAAATTTTCTTTATCCATTCTTCTGTTGATGGACACTTAGGCTGTTTTCATATCTCAGCTCTTGGGAATAAAGCTGCTATAAACATGGGGGTGCAGATGTATCTTCAAGATAGTGATTTCACTTCCTTCTGAAGTGTACTCAGAAATGGAATTGTAGATTGTATGGTAGTTTTAATTTTTGAGTAACTTCCACAATGATTTCCAGTGGCTGTATCAATTTACATTCCCACCAACAGTGCACAAGGGTTCCCTTTCCTCCACACCCTCTCCAGCATTTATTACCTCTTGCCTTTTTGATAATAGCCATACTGAAGGTGTGAGGAGTTTTACAGTTTCAGGTCTGACATGCAAGTCCTTATTCCATTTCTAGTTAACTTCTGTGAGTGGAGTGGGCTTGGAGAAGTTCTCTTTCAGTTGAATTGTTTGGGAACCTATGAGCTTCACGAACTTGGGAGTCCAAATCTCTCCGCAGTTTTGGTAAGTTCTCCGACATTGCTTCTTTAAATCAGCTTTCCACCCCTTTCTCCCTCTCTTCTCCTTCTGGGCCTCCAACAATGTGCTGTTTCTTTTCTCTTTTTTTTTTTTGCGGTACGCGGGCCTCTCACTGTTGTGGCCTCTCCCATTGCGGAGCACAGGCTCCGGACGCGCAGGCTCAGCGGCCATGGCTCATGGGCCCAGCTGCTCCGCGGCATGTGCGATCCTCCCGGACCGGGGCACGAACCCGTGTCCCCTGCAGCGGCAGGCGGACTCTCAACCACTGCGCCACCAGGGAAGCCCTATTTTGTTAATGACGTCCCTTAAGTCCCGTGGGCCTTCTTCATTCCTCTGCATTCTTTTTATTTCTGCTCCTCTGACTGAATGATTTCAGATGATGTGTCTTCAAGTCATTTGTGCTTTCTTCTGCTTGGTCCAGGCTCTGGTTCCAGACAGGATATCCCTGGGGGTCCACGACATCAACAACTGCCTGAACCTTTGCGAGTGCTCTGGGGGATCTGCAGGGCCTGCAAGGACCGCCAACGTCTTCAGTGGCACATCCAAGTCCAGCGGGCAGGGTCCAGGCGGCGGCGGCGGTGGGAGCCAGAGCCAGTGGTGCGCGCCCACTCGGTGGCAGGGGCTGGCTGCGCGCGCCTGTACACACTGTACACACATATCGTGGCAAAGCTCAGTGGCAGCGGCAGGGGCCGGGACCCACGGCAGGCACTCTTGCAGCTGCGAGGGCCTCGGTTGTCGGGGTGTGATCCTGTGTCTGCAGGGTCTCACCACAGGCGTGTACACAGCCGCGGAGGCCAGTCCAGCAGTCAAGGTGGTGGGTGCAGCTGCACCACTGCAGGGACTAGTTGCACATAAGCCCCGTGAGGCAGGCCAGCGACCGGAGGTAGGGACAGATCTAGGCCCACGGGCAGCTGTGGGGACCTTGGCTGTCAGCCTGCACTCTTGTGGCTGCAGGGTCTTGTCGCAGGTCCTCACGTGGCCGTGGAGGCCAGGGATGGGAGTCAGACTGGTGGCATCCGGGCACACAGGGAGGGGCCGGCCCTGAGCGTCCACAGGGCTGTGGGTGTCAGCTGCAGGGTGTAGGCCAGCGTCCTGCATGTGTGCAGCCAGAGTCAGGGGCCTGCTGCTGGTGTGGATCCAGGCCTCTCTTCCTCGGGATCTTGTGCATTAGGGCTTCTTTCATCCAGAGCTCTTTGACAATACCCTAGAAAACTCTGACTTTTATTTTATCTGGTTTAACATTCAGGAACGTGGGAGCACAAGTCTTTTGTTACCATTCTTATCATAACCAAACTTGAAGTCTTGGAGCAGTTGAATCTGGAGCAATGCATACAAGAAATGTGCTATTTTCTGCTTTTTAGCCATCTTTGGGAGCTCCTTCCACGTTACCTGGCGAGGCCATTGCACAGCGTCATGGGACTTCTAATTCCGTCTGAAGGTTTATGACTCCCAAATTATTTTTCTTTCTTCTTTATTGAAGCATAGTTGGATTACAATATTGTGTTAATTAGTGTTGTACAGCAAAGTCACTCAGTTATACACATACATACGATCCTTTTCATATGGTCTCCATTACGGTTTATCACAGGATATTGAATACAGTTCCCCGTGCTCTACAGTAGGACCTTGTTTATCCATCCTGTATGTACTAGTTTGCATCTGCTAATCCCACACTCCCAGCCCATCCCTCCCCCACCTCCCCGACCCTTTGGCAACCACCAGTCTGTTCTCTATGGCTGTGAGTCTGTTTGTGTTTCGTAGATATGTTCATTTGTGTCATATTTGAGATTCCACATGCAAGTGATAGCATATGGTATTTGTCTTCCTCTGTCTGGCTTACCTCACTTAGTGTGATCATCTCTGGTGGCATCCCAGTTGCTGCAAATGGCACTATTTCGTTCTTTTTTACAGCTGAGTCGAATTCTTATCTCTAGTCCTGGCCTTGCTTTTATATGCCAGTCTTCCATATCTAATTGCTTATTCAGAATCCCCACTTAATCGAAGATACCTCAAAATTATCAGTCTGAGGTAGATTTTATTTTTCTTAACTAGCTCCTTAACCTGCTATTTCCCCAATCTTTTTTATCTCAGTTAATAGCACTCCTTCCTAACATCCAGCTACAAAAGTCAACCCACAGGACGCACCCTTCACTCTTGTCTTTGTACCGCTCCTTACTCCATCCATCAGAATATCTTGCAGATTCCAGCTCGAACCATATTGCAAGTTAACGTCTCCTTATTTTCACCATTACTCTCACCTGGACAGATGCAGTAGTAAAACGTGTCTGCTTCTTTCTCTGTGTGCCTCATTCATCCATGCTCCAAATGCCTGCAAGAGTAATTTATGAAATATATGAGTGAAAGCATGCAGCTCTCCTGATTAAAATCCTCTCTTTGCTCCTTCCCCAAAAGAGAAGACGTATAAATCCAAATTCAGCATCCAGCCTTCACAGCACACAGATCTGAGGCATGCCCAGGACTCCAACCTTATGTGTTTACTTGCTCCCTGGGATTCAGCCACACTTTTCTGCGTTTCCCAAAATTACCAAGTCATTTCCAGTTTAGAGGCTGTTTAGCTCTTTACTTCACCCACCGGGCTGCTCTTCCTGTATTTTGTGTTGTTTTGTTTTTGTTTGTTTAATTTTAGAAGTTGCCTTTTTTTAGTTAAAGATACTGGAAGGTCTTTACTAATCACCGAAGTAAAGCTGTTCTTTTATCACTGCTGTTTTACATTACTAACTACATCACTAATATTTCTCTTTAAATGATAGCACTTACCCGTATTTTCCATGTCCTTTTAAAGTCATTTATCTAATTGTTTATCCTCTGCTACCCTGCCATTGTGGGTAAAAGTTAAATAAATACCAGAGTCTTCTGTGGACTTTCAAATATATGTCCCCAGGAGTTAGAACAGCCCCTGACACACAGGAGTACTCAATATATGTTTGTGTAGTCGCTAGATTTCAATTGTTTGAGAGTCACCCCCCCCCCCCATCCTGGAATTTTTGACATAACTGCTGCTTCATAAAGTTGCTCCTACATTGCTTTATTTCCTTTAAATATTCCTCCAAAGCATCTTTGGTTTTTAAAAATGGTACAGATTTTCAAGTCTTCAGAGGAGGATCTAGGAACAATTTATTTTCCCAGCTTGACAATAACCTCCTTCAACATATAAAGTGTGCAACTCTGGGATGAGTACAATGACAAAAAATAGGATATAAGCCATTAGTAAGTTAGGAACTTATTTATTAAGCATGTGGAACATTTATGGACATCAGTAAAAATATTTTGTTGCTGTTATCTGAGCTCACATCAAGGTGGCTATTTTTTTTAATTTATTTTATTTTTTTATACAGCAAGTCCTTATTAGTTATCCATTTTATACATATTAGTGTATATATGTCAATCCCAACCTCCCAATTCATCACACCACCACTTTTGCATCAAGGTGGCTTTGATTCAGTATATTTTTATCCTAACAGTCTCAAGTCGAATACCAAGACATGGATATAGAGTAAAATTACTGGCAAACTTTAAATTATATTAATGACAAGATTTTCTCCATAAAGACCAGGAATTGGGTTATTACACTTCATATTAAGCAGGAGAAACTTCATTTTTTCATAAGAATGTTTCACCTTTCAAAAAGAAAAATAGGGAATGATCCTAAAAGAAAGGAACATCTCTTTGATCTCTGGGACCCCCAGAACACGTATCTTAGTGCCTTGCATTTTGTCAATGTTTAAATGTCACAAATATTGCTATAGTATCTTATACCATTTTCTTTTGTTCTATGATTCATTTAAAATCTTGAACTATATTTGCATGCATTTAAAATATACTTAATTTAATTTATGTATATTATCAAGAGACTAGATCAACTATATAGACAATTTTAGTGCAGAATTCATTAAGCATATAATTGTAGATTTGAAACACAGCCAATTCTTAAAAGTTACAATTCACTGTCCAAAAAAAAGGTCTCAAAATCACTGTCGGGACGTGTCCTGTCCTCTGAGTACAACCATTAGCTTGTTTATGCTGTCTGCTAGGATTATAAACATCAAACAAGTGGCAAGTAAAGAATAAAACCAGATAACTTGATATAAGAATTGTGATAGTCTTCTTAGGGGAAACTTCAGTTGTTCCTTAAAATCTTGATTATTTTTTATTCTTTATACCACTTTAACATTCTCCATTATGAACCTTAATTCATTGTTATCCTATTTAATGCCAAGGCTGTTCTCCTTAGCCATGAAGATCATGGCCATTTGTAGTCTTTATTTAGTTCAAGAAATGGAGAGCAATTTTCATATTATAAGCAGCTTATAGTATATCAGGAAAGGAAATATGCTGAAAAATGCTCTTAAAAAGCAAATATAAATATGTTATTAATATCCATGTTTTTAGTCAATGGTCCTCCCCAAGGGGCTTTAGAGCCTTAGAGAAATAAGAATACTTAATGTGCTTTTCACGTTTCCTACCTTTGCCCTCATCATTTTGTAAATATTTGAATCAAGAAGAAATTGAAATTGAAGAGGAAGTGGGAAAAAAGAAAGAAATCTCTCCATAGCAGTATTGTGATAAATACAGACAGACACAGATGCTTTGCTCGCAATTTTTCTGGTTTGGAACATGTAGGAAAATTGTTAAATGTAGTAACTTTAAGTTATTCTAACAGCAAATTATGGAGCCCTGCACCCTAAACATTTCCTTGGCTATTTCTATAAATCTCTCCCCATCCCAGTATCACACTGTTTGCCACATCATGGAACCTTGAGCCCTTTCTCTGTTTTGTTTCGGTTTTTTTTTTCTTTCTTTCTTTCTTTCTTTTTTTGGCTGCATCAGGTCTTAGCTGAGGTATGCGGGATCTTCCTTGTGGCGCGGGCTCTTCCTTGCAGCCCACGGGCTTCTCTCTAGTTGTCGCATGTGGATTTTCTCTCTCTAGTTGTGGTGCACGGGCTCCAGAGAGCGTGGGCTCTGTAGATTGTGACACATGGGCTCTAGCTGAGGCAGGCGGGCTTAGTTGCCCCGCGGCATGGGGGATCTTATTCCCCGACCAGGGATCGAACCTGCGTCCCCTGCATTGTAAGGTGGATTCTTTACCACTGGACCACCAGGGAAGTCCCTCTGTTTTGCTATGTGAGAAATTACTCAGAAATGATAAGAGGCAGAGCCTTTCTCTCTTCATGCAGAAACACACTTTATTTAGTAATTGTTGCATATGAATGTGCTTCTTTAGTTTGCAGGGTATCCAAATGAGGAAAACTTCATATTGTAAATTATTTGCCTATGTTTTAATGCCAAAATTTGGAAGAGATAGTAAGCAAAAGGATGGGAAGACTAAAGAAGAGAAATGAGGTGGGAATGAGTTGAATTTATTTCCCATTTTAGGTTTAAGGGTCTTCCAAATATAGGTTTTAATTATTACACCAAAATAATTTTTGATAGAAGATTATAAACTTTAAGTACAGGAGAATTTTTACAATGTGTAATATACTAAGAATTTCAATAGTCATTTCCAAAGTTTCTTTTTACTAAGTAAACTCTATGGTTAGTTGCAAGGATTTTATGCTTTTGATGAATTAGCTGTTTAAAAGCCCAGCAAGATTAAAGTGGTATTAACATACCACTACTAGTGGAATGGTCTGAGCTCATTTAACATACATTAAATTGTCCCAGTCAAGTAAATTATAAACTGAAGATATGATACTAGTACATACACAAAGGTTTCAGTGTGATGTAAGGGCAGTGCCTCTGAAGCACCCCCATCTGCAGGACTGAGGAATGTTCATCATGGAAATATTCTGCATCATTTTGAAACAGTTTTGTTTCTAGGAATTGCATTGCTTCCTTATGTTCTATTCTTCATATATACTTTTAGCATAACATTCGCGCACTTCTCTTTCTTAACACACACCACAGAGTTCCAAGTGTTCTTTGGAATGGAACTAAAATCAGCACAACTTTTCTAAGCCCCTACAACTGGCTATGAGCTCTCAGTTTTATTCTGTTTTGTTTTTCAAACCCACTAGTCCCTTTTTCCAGGAAGATTTATTCTTTACATTCTTATTCTGTCCCTATGCCCACTTTGATGCCGAGGTGTTCTCACAAATGTCAAGATACACTTATCACTGATCTACCTTTTGAGATTCAGCTCACAATTTTTTCTTCCACTAAGCAACAGTGATCACAGTATTTTATTTGGTGAAAAAAATGAAGTTATTGATCACTCATTTATCCAAGTAATCATATAAATTTATACAAAAATTAATCTTTCACTAAATTAATATATGCTTGATATTTTAATTTGTATATACAAATACACATTTGTTTATGTTTCACTATATTGTAGTTTAAATGTACAAATAGGAATAAATTATAAATTAGATATGTAAATGCAAACAGCATATAAACATATGGAACAGAATTTGTAAAATGATGGAGAAAAGGAGGACTTTGAAATATCTATAAGAATTTTCTATTAGAATTATCTATAAACCTTTAAAATGGGAAATTTCCAGTAAAATTGTTGTGCATCTATTTCCTCTAAAGTTCAAAAGTGCTGACCATATTTTTACATATATATGTGTATATATGTGTGTTCTTGTCTCTAATATCCAAAGAACATTTTAAATATATTACATACATTTTAGTTACTTCTATTTTTTGTGATCATTTAAATTTGTGATCTGTGATCTAAACAATGGTGGAAATATTTTTGCAAGTAGATAGGTAAAGTGTTCCACAGAATATATCTCTATAAAAAAGTATCAGATGAGAAAAAGTGATGAGATTTTAGCTCTCTCTTCACCTGATTTATTTTTAACTGTAAATTCCCCTAGTTTTCTACAGAGACTGAAATTAATCCTCTTATTATGAGGACATGTTTGAGTTTGTTTAATAGGAAATAATAATTCTCTGTAACTTTCTTCAAGAGTTCAAATGAGCATAAATCATTTGTGTTTCAATAATCCTATTACATTAGAAAATTTCCAATATAATATCACTGTCCAGCATTTTTACAGTGTGAATATCTACTAATATTTTAGCAGGGGTAAGAGGATTCTATTCTGAATAAGTTTTTAAAGGGTAATCACCTTTCTTCTCTAATGCAGCACCAGGCTGTAGAATTTAGAATGTGCCTCAGACCTTTGCAGTTAGAATTCTTTATTCTTTGGCCATCTTTTTTTTTTCTGGCCATGCTGCATGGCATGTGGGATCTTAGTTCCCAGACCAGGAACCAAACCCGTGCCCCCTGCAATGGAAGAGTGGAGTCTTAACCACTGGACCACCAGGGAAATCCCTCCTTTGGC